CGGAGCCCGGCGGGACCCACGGACCCGGTCGGACCCACGGACCCGGTCACGCACCGAGGAACCGGGCGGCTGCAGCAGCGCCGTGGGCTTGGYACCGCGGTGACAATTTGGTGACGGTGACAGCACCGAGGGGACACCCAGGCAGCGTGCAGGGGACAGCACATCCTGAGCCCAGTGCCTCCGCAGAAAATTAGGGTGACAGCAATGAGCCTCCAGTAGCCGCGCCCGGAGCCGTCTGCACCCAGCCCGGCCCTGAATTTGGCAGTTTCGACCCAAAAGGGCTCCTGTTCCCCTCCCTCCCACCACAGCACCTTTTTTCAGGTCCTAAAGGCACCACGTTTGTGGGCAAATACCTCACAAAGTGCAGRGACTGCACAAAGCAGAGGGGCGGAGGGGGAGGAAATATCCCAGCAAAGTTGCTCAAGGGGAAGGCAAAGCACCCCCAAAAAAATGTTCAGAATCAAACATTATCCACCCTGGCTGCCTGTTACCTGCAATTCTCCTCGCAGCACTGTCAGTGGGGCAAGAGCCCAGCAGAAAAATAGATTTCACTGTCAGGACAAAACTGGGCTCTGTCACCCCAAAACTGGGCTCTCTCGCCCCAAAACTGGGCTCTCTCACCCCAAATAGAGTGTGGCACCTCTGGAAACAGCTGTAGAAGGGCGCTGAAGGATGCAAAATGATGTGGGGCATGCAGAGGGGATGTTGTGGGATGCAAAGCTGTGCAGAGGGATGGATTGCACTGGGAGGRTGCACAGGCAGTTGCTGGTTCATGCTCTGGGGAACCAGGGAATGCAACAAAAGAAGGGTTTGATCCAGAAATCCACAACAGAGCACAGGAGCAACACCAGGCAGGGCAGAGGGGCAGCCATCGCCTTGGCTGTGACACAGGAGCTCATGGGGGCCCTGTCTGGAGGTGCTGGAGAGCCACAGAGCATCCTCAGAGGCTCTGGGTGACAAAGTTTGGGACACAGACGTGAGGCCACCAGGGCACACAGCCAAGGACATGGGGCTCCGGTGCACACAGCCCCAGAATTTTTCAGCAGAAACCACACTGCCTGATCCCTGCTCAGCAGGGAGGGACAAACCACCCCCAAGTGCTTCTCACTTCTCTCTTGAGGRCTCACCGGGGTGGAAACTGCAAGTCTCTGGTGCTATTTACAGAGCTGAGTTTCCCCTGCAAAACCCCGAGAGCCGGAGGGYTGGGTCATCTCCCTGCTCTGACTCCTTCCACTAGCTCAGGCAGTGCCAAAATCGTGATTTCCTTCCCAGAGGGAGACCCAAGCTCAGCAATGATCCCATCCTTTGTACCAGACCTGTGACATGYGGCACAGCGCTGGAGTCACTGTGTCCCTGTGGCCGTGGTGCCTCCTCTCCTTGTCCTGGATTCAAGCCCTGCAGTCCCTYGGGTGGTGCCAGCGCTGCTTCCCACCCTCCTGCAGGATCTGGGATGTGAGGGTCACATCCAGGACGAGCTGCTGGGTTCCTCTGCTTTGGGGTCTGCTCCCCACAAGCAGGATCAGCCTCCGATGTCCCTGCAATGGACACACAGCAAAACATCGCCTGAGCTCTCCATTCCAGCTCCTCATGGCGAGCACGAAACTGGAGTTTTTGAACCAAACAGAAAAAACCCTTGAGGCTGCTCCACTGATGTTTTTAGTAACAGATATTGCTGCTTCCTTCCTCCTTTAGCTGTTTCTGCAGAAAGGTCCCGCCGGGCTGAGCTGAGTCACTGTTCTGCCACGCTCCCAGCACCTYGTGCCACCTCCTGGCACCRCAGCCGTGCCCAGCGTTTCTGCAGGAAGCAGGGAGAAACCTCTGGGGGCTGCCAGCAATGCAGAGTTGGCTCTTTGCCTCTGTGAAACCAAGCTGTGCTATTAATATGCTATTAATGTTTTATTAATGTGCTATCAATGTGTCATTAATGCTTTGAGCCCCCAGCCCAGCCTCAGCTGCCCGTGCCGGACACAGCTCAGCCCTTTCGCCTCCCAAACATTTATCACCAGAGAAAATCCATGTTTAAAGCACCTCACTGTGCCCCACGAGATGCTCTACGTGAGCAGGACACAGGACAGTGGCTTGTGCTGACCATCCTGAGGACAGRGAAAGGATGGATACCCCAAGTGATGCTTGATCCTATTTTCCTGATAACTGCCTCTGGAAAAGAGTGAAAGCTCCTTCTCTGCAGAAGGAAACATCCCATTTGCGGTGGAATCACCATTCCTGGAGGGATTTAGAAGGTGTTTAAYGTGGCACTTGGGGACGTGGCTCGGCGGTGGCCATGGCRGTGCTGGGRSATGGTYGCTCTCCATGATCTCAGAGGGCTTTCCCGACCTTTGTGGGGTTGGAAAGGGCAGATGCTGCAGAGCCCCACCCCTCCAAGCCCCTCTGAAACGCGGCCACCTGGCCCAGGACACCTGTCCCTGCTCCCGGTGACACATCACCCGCAGTGTCCCTCCCACCCTGGCCCCAGCAGCGCCGGGACCCCACGAGCCAATGCAAGGCTGCGAGTGCGGCCGATTTGCATGGAAGGGACGAGGGGAAGCCCCAGGAAATGCAGARGCCAGGCATTAACCAAATCTCTCTCTAATAATAACCCCTGAGCCGTGCAGGRCTCGGGGCTGCGGCCATGGCAGGAGCCCAGGGCGAGTAGGCACCGACCGAGGGTCAGATGTGAGTTACCCAYGGAGGGGCTGCGGGGARAAGGGGGGGATGAGGGGTTTGTTTGTGCCGGGGTTTGGGGCTGGGTCACCCTCCCGGAGTGCCAGCAGGGAGGGGAGGGTCTGCTCAGGGCTCCCACATGCTGAAAGTACTCGGAACTGTGGGGCTGGAGAGGCAATCATAGAGCTGGTTGGGATCAAAAAACCGYAGGACCAAATTCTCATCCCATTCCACCCTCCTTTCCATCAGCAGGGACACCTTCCACCATCCAGGCTGCTCCAAGCCCTGTCCAGCCTGGCTTTGGACACTCCCAGGGATCCGGGGGCAGCCACATCTTCTTTGGCAACCTCCCCACCCTCACAGGACAGGATTTTTTCCTGATAACGAATCTAAATCCACCCTCCTTCATCTCAAAGCCATTCCCCCTTGTCCTGTGGCCGCTAAAGCTTGGGATGAAGGATCTGGGCAGGAATTCAGGGTGCTGGKCCCGGTGGGTGAGAGGCAGAGGGAGAGACTCACCTGGCTCTGCTGGAAAACCTGTGCCTGGGATGTCTTGGGGGTCCCCAAGGAGGGCAGGGTCTGTCCCAGATGAGGCCAAACATCTCCCTGCAGCATCTGGGGAGGAGGTGCCCAGCCTGCAGCCCCTGGGCTTTGMCACAGCCCCGGATCTCTCCATTATTCCCACGGGATAATCGTTTTCCAGGCGATTATCTCATGGGAAAACCCACCCAGGGCAAGGATGGCTCAGCTCACAGCCACCCCCAGTTGCTGTCACCCCTTAAAGGCTTCCTGCCACCCCGGGGGGCTTCTCTGGGTACAGAGTTTGTTCCCAAAGCATCCGAGGAGAGCGATGGCCTGAGCCTCGCTCTGCCCTGGGGATGTCTCCAGCCAGCTCGACAGAAAGCCATTATTTAATTTTATAGCAATGTTAATTGAATGACTGGGAGTGACAGGCCAGCGTCCTCGTGCAGGGAGGATTTTTCCCCGCGAAGGGGAGGGTTTCTTTYCGTTTTTTTTCACGGGTGCTGCCCCAGGCAGGAGCCAGCAGCAGCAGAGGCTGCCCATCCTCAGCCCCTCTGAAGGGAAGATGCTGCGGGGGCAGTGGCAGCACAAACACGCAAAGTGCTCCATCTCTGCACATCCCCGAGTGCTGGAGAGATCCTGGCAGAGTGCAGGACATTTTCTGGATAAAAATCAAGAATTTGGCTTTGCCTTCGGGCACGCAAAGGCCGACGCTGTGCTGCAGTTTCGGGGAGTTTTAAACCTTTGGGTCCCATCAGCAGCAGCACCTCCCACCMGAGCAGGAAACAGCTCCAGGCACAGCTCCAGGGAGGGATGGGCTGTCCTGGGAGCCCTCTCGGGCTGAAAAGGGGACATTGTCACCAYGGCCACCCTCGTGCTGGGTTGGACCTTCCTGCAGCTGCTCCGTGGTGCTGGCCATGGACCCTGCGTGTGGCACAGCACAGTAGCTCTTGTTAGCCAGAAAGTTTATCAAAGTGTAAGTTTTTGAGCAGATTTTTGTGCTGCTGAGGGCTGCTCCCATGCCTTTGGCATCAGATCCAAGGCACATGGGCACTGGGGCAGCAGAGGAGGGGACAAACAGCCCATGATGGGGACAAGAGCACGTCCATCTCCAGCTGGCACTGGTTAAACTGGTGCCTGAAGTCTCCTGGGGAARTTCTCCTCCTTCTGATGCTTTAACGTGTCTGACACATCAGCCTGGGTTTCACTCTGACACCAGAACACCCAASAGAGATGTCAGAAATGACACACAGTGCTGCATTTCTGTCATTTTCAGAAAAACTTACAAAGATGGGGACGGTCCCCAGGCTTGGCTCCCGCTGGCAGGTGCAGGGTCCCCAGACCCTGGGGGCACAGCCAGGGTGGGCTCTCTGTGTGACCCCTGGGGCTGGCACAGTGCTCCCATTGGGGTTTGATTGAAGAGCAGATTGAGCTGAGTGATCCAGGATCCCCTAGAGAGGGACGAGGTGGCTACCAAGCAGCCCGTGGTGGCCACCTCGTGCACAGATGTGCCTCTGTTCCACAGCCATGGATGGGCCACGTGCGGGGCAGGATGCCATGAACAACTGCACCGACCAGGAGTACTGGGACCCCCTCGTCTCACAGTGCATCCCCTGCAGCCTGGGCTGCAGCCAGGCCCCCGCCAGGTGTGATGCCGTGTGTGGTGAGTGCCAGGGATGCTCCTGGGTGGGAGTTTCAGGGGTGGGGCCGGGCTGGGCGAGAGGATCAGCCCCCAGGATGAACCCCAGAGCCAGCTCAGCTCAGCAGAGCTTCAAACTGAGAGCAGGGAGGTGTGACAGCTTCCCGTGGAGGGGCTGGGAACAGCTCGGGATTGAGGCCAGCACTGAGTGCCTGCATCTCTGCACTGCTCCTGTCCGGGTCACCAGGCTGCAGCATCAACGCCCCTGTCCCTGCTGGGGCCACCCCACCCTCCAAAGGCAGGGCTGGGGAACCACCAGGTACAGTGGATGTGGGTARTGATGAACCCCTGACCCGGGGCAGCCACTGAGGTGTCCTGAAAACAGGTGGGGTGGAGGAAAAAGGCRCAATAACCTTTGTACCCAAACGCTGAGCAAGCGTCCCTGCATGAGTCACGGGCTGGGGTGAATTAATTACAGCCCAGGGCTCAGTAGCCACAAATGAACATCTCTCTGAGGACAGGGGATGCCATTCCTGGCATCCCGAGCCAGGGCTGTAGTTTTGGTGTGTCCCAAGAAGCTGTGCAAGCCCCAGGGCAGCAGCAGCAGCAGCCAGGAGCTCCCAGGTACCCTTCAGCTGCCTCTGGCTGGCTCAGACCATCCCCTCCCTGTGCTGCTGCCAGCAGATGCCTTTCCCCAGYGATCCATCCAAACACCACCCCAAATCCTCTGGATCTGTCCCTCTGCCAGCCCTGGAGAGGTTCTCAGTGCCTGCAGCAGCGGGCAGGTCTCGCCCTGTGCCTGTCAGAGCAATGAGCTGGACTCATCCTCTGGTGAATCTGGGCGCTGGGGTGGTGGGAGGATGTCCTCAGGTCCTCGGGACCCCGTGCTCATCTCCTCCCCTCCCCTCCCGCAGAGTCCATGGACTGCAACAAGAAACCGGGATTTTACTACGACGAGCTGGTGAAGAGCTGCATCAAGTGCAGCTCGGTGTGCGGGCAGCACCCCAAGGAATGCGCCCTGTCCTGCGAGCGTGAGTTGGGGACGGGGCACCAAACCCCCCACTCTCCATCCCAGCGGGCTTTGGGGGCTGTCATTTCACTGGGGCTGGGGAAGAGCAGCCGGGGCAGCCCTTTCCCCTTTTCTCCATCCTGTAGAGGCTTTCCCCTGTCGTGTGCCGGTGTTTGGCGCGGTCCAGGCACGGCAGAATTGGCAGCCGTGGATCGCACCCAGCCCTGGGGGAAGGGGAGTGGGAGGGGACAGGGGAGGTCAGGAGCTACAGCTCCTACACCCCTGGAGATGGGGGAGGGTGGGAATGGGAATGGGAATGGGAATGGGAATGGGGATGGGAAAGGGAAAGGGAAAGGGAAAGGGAAAGGGAAAGGGGATGGGAATGGGAACGGGAGTGGGAATGGGAATAGGAATGGGGATGGGAAAGGGGATAGGAATGGGAGTGGGAATGGGAGCGGGAATGGGAAAGGGGATGGGAATAGGAATGGGAATGGGGATGGGAATGAGGATGGGAATGGGAACGGGAATGGGACGGGAAAGGGAAAGGGGTTGGGAATGGGAGCGGGAATGGGAACGGGAACGGGAATGGGAACGGGAACAGAAATGGGAACGGGTCTCCTCTCCCTCACCGTGGCAGAGAAGTGCCAGCGAGCAGAGGGAATACAGAGCTGCCGTGAAATCCCTTCCCAGGGGAGGGCACGGGCGCTCTCAGCTCTTTCCCATCAGAAAGCCACCCCAGAGGTGTCTGAGCTCCCCCTCTGTCCYGCCCCACAGCCACCCCGGCGGGGCCGGCGGCCGTGCTGGAGCAGAAGGCGTGCGCGGAGCAGGAGCCGTGGCTGGTGCTGTACCTGCTGCTGGGGCTGTGCCTGTGCGCGCTGCTCTGCTCGCTGCTCCTGGGCTGGACCCACCTGCGCAGGAAGGGAGACACGGGMTCCTGCCGAGCCAGCGCCGGCACCTGCCCCTGCAGGGAGGATCCTGCCAAAGGTGGGTGCTGGCAGCACTGGGGGCRAGGGGACAGGGTGGGGAGCGTGCGGGGGGCAGGATCGGGCTGCCGGACACTGCTGGAGAGGAGCCAGGTCCTGACAGGGGAGGGAGGAAAAGCAGAGACAACGATGTGGTTCAGTGCGAGCCTGAAGAGGAGCAGGACCGGACCCCGTGCCCGATTCTCCACCATAAACCCCTCCTGAGCCACTCCCTGCACAGCCCCGGCACTGCCAGAACCTCTCCAGCCTCCGGCCAGAGGCTGAGCAGCAAAAACCTCTTTCAAAACCTTTTCAATCCTCTTTCAAAATGAACACCTGTCCCAGAAAAACCTCAATTTTAGCTCCACAGCCAGAGGGGCTTCAAAGTCCTTGTGCMAAGGAGAAAGGATAATGTGGGGCAATTCAACATGGAAAAGGTGTTTTTATTCTTCCTCTTCTTCTTATCCTCTCCCTTTCAAATAAAAATTGCCTCCTTACCTATTTCTGCACACACATCACACACATCCATGTTTACACACATCCACCTCAAAGCCATCAATRTCAAAAATCACAGAGGAAGAGCCCACGAGCCAATGTGACACCGAGAGTCAGTCCCAGGGTCTCTCCAGCCGTTCCCGTCTGCCTTGCCAAGGACTCGGGGCATAAAATGGTCACTTTTCGGGGAAGCCACCAGTTTTGGAGAAATTTTCTGGATGTTTTAGGTGATGCAGTGAATCCATGCTGGGAGCTGGGTGTCCTGTCCAATTCCTGCCCTTCAGAGCATTCCTCAGGTTAAAGCTGCTCCCAAACTCCCTCAGCTGATGCAGAGTTTATTTGCAGATGGGCTGGTGGAAGCGGGCAGCGTTGGTGATGGATTCACCAGCATCAGAATCCCAGAGCCGGTGGAAACCTGTGGCTTCTGCTTCCCTGGACATGGCTCTGCTGTCCAAGAGACCAAATCCTGCCACAGCACCTCCTGCCACCTCGGGGACAGGGCTGCTCCCTCCTTCACTGGGATCTGCAGCACGGGAAGCGCCGGGGCCGTGCCCAGCCCTGACGACGGCCACTTCAAAATCATCTGTTCTCCTTCCCAAGAGAAAACACCCACGGTGTGACCGCAGGGGACATCCCAGCACAGGATCAGAATGGAGGGATGTCCCCTCTGCCCCCAAACCAAAACTGCTTCACCCTCTGCTGCCAGTGATGGAACTTCTCCAGCCCAGGCTGTGCCGATGGCTGTAGGATAACACAGGGCTGGAGGTTGCACAAAGCTCTTTGCTTCCACTCAGGAAATTTAATTCCCATTATTCTCGTGCACTTCYCATGGAGCAGCATCCGACTCCATCCCCCAGCTTGACCTCGGTGCATCCCAGCCATCRGGGRTGTCTCATGGGGGCTTTTCATCCTSCTTCCAGCACCAGCATCCCTGCAAAGGCTCAGGCTGCAGTGCCCACTGATCCCATGCAGAGCTCACTTCCATCACTCACCAGAACAATCTGCAGCAGAGCTGGAAACATCTCAGACATGGCATTGGATCCAAGGAGCTCCTGGTGAAAGTCACAGGGACTCAGCGTGGGAAGCTCTGCTGTCAGCTCCCAGCAGTGCCGTGGGGGTTGAGGAGGCTCTGCCTCATGACCAGGACACGATGCTGCACATGAGGAGCTGGGACCGGCACCAAAATCCTCCATGGAATTGGGTTTAAATGTGAAAACTCAACCAAAGCTGAGATCTTTCTACAAAGCTGGGTTTTTGCGTATCTGACCTGGGTTATCCTGAAGAGCTGGTAAAAGTGAGGAATCAGCTGGAGATAAATCAGTTTTGAGGGAATATTTTTATCTGATCTGGCTTTGAAAGCTACCATGGAAAAACAGAGGTTTCAATCTGTAACTTAAAGTTTTCATTTCCACTAAAGGAGACTGTAGGAATTTTTTGTTTGGTGAGGAATCRCTCCTGGTAGGAGCCCATCCCCTCCACTGTCTCAAACCAGAGCTTCAAACTTGGAAGAATAAATATACGTCAATATTTATATTGACTGKGTTCTGGATAGCAGACAGCTGGAGAAAACACAAGCAGATTTATAACAGATTATGTACCTTCTATATKATGTATTCCTTTAAATGTAAATACTTTCTTACCATTAAAAAGGCATCGCCAGGGAGGTTGAGCCTCTCATTCTGATCACCTCCTACACTCTCAGCACTCACAGTCCATGGGCCTCGACCTTCCAAACCTTCTCTTTGTCCCAGTAAACCTGGGCAGCCTCTTGGCCTCCCTGCTCACATCAGCCCCTTCCCCTCCACAGCAGCATCTCCCACCCCTCCCTACCATCCTCTGGCAGTGGGAAGCCATTCCCTGTGTCCTGCCCCTCCATCCCTTAYCCCCAGTCCCTCTCCAGCTCTTCTTTAGGCACTGGAAGGGGCTCTGAGCTCTCCCTGGAGCSTTCCCTTCTCCCAGCCTGGCTCTGTGGCAGAGGGGCTCCAGCCCTTGGAGAACTTCCATGGCCTCCTCTGGATTTGTTCCAGAGTTCCACATCCTGTTTATGTCAGGGGCTCCAGAGCTGGGATCAGTGCTCCAGCTGAAGGGTTTTGCACTTGGTGCAGCACCAGYACATCCTCCCCTGGCCCCAGGGCTGGGAACAGCCCCAGATCTGGGAACGCCCCCAGCTCTGGGAACAGCCCCAGTTTTGGGAATGCCCCCAGCTCCGTGCCCATGCCCCCTCTCCCAAGCGCAAGGACAGGGATTTCAGAAGAAGGAAAACCCTCAGCAGCAGCCAGTGCCTCACCAGGCTGCCCCTTTCCAGCAGGGGACACCTGGATCCAGYCCAGCCCCAGTGCCCTGCAGACCTTCGAGTGTCACCTCCAGGAACCCCGGCCATGGTATTTGTATAAAGAGATTCAGAACCTTATTTAAAAACAGGACAGAATTAACTGAACACRTGCCACCAGTTTTGCAATTACGGCATCTCTGGAGGATAAAGAGGCATCAATTATTCAAATGAGAAGGATTTTAGGGCCATGTCCGTGCCAGTGAGAGCAGAAGCTCACCCTGTGTGGCAGCAGCAGCTCCTKCCCCAGCTGACCCAGGAGGGCATTCACCTTCTCACACCCAGGCAAAGCCAGGCTTGGGACAGGGCTGCTCCTCCTGTTACCATGTGGTGTCTCAAAAATTGGGGAAAGCACTCATCAGAAGCCAAGTCCTTCCCTCCAGGCCCAACACACAAGAGGGGAGCATCTCTCACCCTCCCCTCTGTGTGGGAATGTAACTACAGACACCAGCAGAGAAAAGGTGACACAGAGCAACTTGAATAAATCAGCAGGAGAATAATAAACACCCTTAGGGGCTGAGAACCATGAGGAATCAATGGATTTGGTATCAGATTTTACAGCAGCTGGCCAGCAGCTCTGAAGGACCACCTAGAAACATCCCTTCCAATATTCCAGGGACATTGTATGTACAGGACAGAAACAATTYCAGGTGGGACGAGTCAAACCACACAGAATTGAGGGCACTCATTCCGAGCAAGAGCCCCCACCCAGGGTTTAACCAATCCCCAGATTTCTGCTTTTTCCATCAGGCACCGGCATCAGGCAAAGCTTTAGCTCTACTCCAGTGCCTGAGGAACAAGAAAACGTAGCTAAAACCACTTTCTGGCTATTTTTGTGTCCCCTGTAGAGCCGTGTTCCCTGCTGGCAGGTAACAGAACACACCCCACCGTGAGCCTGCAGCACTGCGCCAGCCTTTGTTTCCAGTCATTYCTGCAAATGCCTCCTCCCAGCAGACCCAGCTGTGCCGATAGAAAATGTACCTCCAAATAAACCAGGCAAGCCCAAACTGCTCCCCGGGATGAGGAGCTGTCACCGGAGGAGGCAGCCTGTCACTGCTGCCTGGCAGCACAGCAGAGCGGCTCCGCTCCACCCGCCCTTGGGGTGTTCCGTGACCGGCGTTTTTTCCTCCAGGCGATGCTCAKGGAGTTCCACGGAGAAACCTGCCGGCTCTGCAGGGAATAATTCAGTGCAGGAGCTGCTGAAGGGATGGAGGGGCAGAGAARGCTGTGTTTGAGGGAAAGCAGCATGAGGGGCAGCGCTGCTCGTACGCCAACAGCTGCTCTTCCATTTCTATGGGAAGAGGGAAAATGCTGTCCCCTCCTCTCGGAACCTGCACAGATTTATTGCTGCTGGAAACAGACCCTGATGTGCTTCGGGCAGGGACACGGGGGGTGGGATGGCAGGCGGGAGGAGAAAAGAATAATAGAGCTTTTACTGCCCCAAGAATTCTGCTTTTGAAACCAGAGARCCCTGAAAGCTCCCCCCGAGAACCATCTGCGCCGGTGCAGCCGCAYGGAGCAGAGCCCTCTCCACCAGATGGGCGGGGAGGAAAAATTAAGGGTGATTTATACGGCTGCCTCGTCCCTAAACAATTTGTTCCTGAAGGCTTAACAAAGCCGGCTGCAGCAGCTCCGCCGGCTGAGCGTGTGCTGTGGAAAACGGAATGCATTCAAAGCGCAGCCAAAGGCACAAAGCGAAGGCAGCGCCGGGGCCATCCTCATCCTCATCATCATCCTCATCATCATCCTCATCCTCTCATCATCTCATCCTCATCCTCGGTGGCCGTCTGCCGCGCGGGGGCAGCGCTCACCAGGCGGCAATGCCAATGCAGCAGCCCCGGCAGTGATGAGGCGCTGGCTCCTGCCTTCCTCCGCAAGCTGCTGCATTATTAAAAGGTGGCGGAAAGCGCCGTCAGGCACCCGCCCGATGCTCGGCTCCGGGGAAAGGAGGGGCCCCGCAGCAGCCGCAGTTCCCCGGCCATTTTTCACTCGTTTTTCACRGCAGACAGGAGCGCTCAGGTTAAACCGTGCGGCACCGGTTACAATGAGAATGACCCCGGCGGGACGCGATGGGCTCGCACACCGGGGCACCCCCACACCGCACCCAAGCTCCTGGGGCTGATTCCAGCCGCTTCAGCTCGTCCTTTCTTCCTCCTTGCCTCCGCACAGAAACCTCTTGATGTACGAAACCTCCTCGGACTCTTCCAGTCTGTGTGCAGAACTCCACCATCCTTCTATTCAGCTGCTCTTGTAAGATGCTCATTTAAAAACCAAACACACTCAATTCCCTTATTTTCCTATTTTTGTTTCTCAGACTGTGTCCCAGGCAGGTTAGACACMTGTACCTCATTCCTAGAGCACAGAACCTACAGGGTTTGACCCCKCCATGCTTTTCCACACTGCTAAAGCTGAGGAATGGTTGGCTGGAGATTTTTGCAGTGGTCAATGATCAGAGAAGCCKTGCCAGCCTCTGGATCCCTGGAAATGTCCAAGGCCAGGGTGGATGGGGCTTGGAGCACCCTGGGATGGTGGAAGGYGTCCCTGCCCATGGCAGGAGGTGGAATCAGATGATCCTTTTAGTCCAACCCAAACCATTCTACGACTTTAGGCACGACACCAATTTAGACAGTGCCCAACTGACACTTCACCCTCTCCACAAAGCAGAACAAAGCTATTTTTGCTCTTCCAGCTCTGTTCTGGAGGCTTTCTCTCCCAGGCTGCAATTCCACCCCCAGCCCAAGCTCCTGAGYGAGCTCCAGCACGAGCAGCTCCTGCTGGTCCCTCAACACAGAGATGGAGGGGGAGGAAAGGCCCCAGAGCTGCGAGCTGAGAACACCAACACACAGGCTGTGGCTCTGCAGGAGGAGAGCATGYGAAGGGTTAATCCATGTGGGAGGATACAAGGAACCAATACCAGCCTAGCACATACCAGGAAAATGTGTTGTTTACTTAGAKCACTGCAGAAGGGCTCAATAGCAGCAGATCCATCGCTCAAAGCTGCCCCGGCAGYGACCGTTCCCAACAGATGGTACATTTTTCACGACTGAGGTTCTCTCAAGTGTCAGATATATATAAATCCACCTTTGGAAGGCAGCAGGGGAAAAAAACAAACCAAAACCAGCAACAACAAAACAAGCGCTTTTGAGAAATTCAAACTTATTCCACAAGATTAAAAAAAAAAAAAACAAAACCAAAAAGAACCAAGACCACTCTTACAGTATAAACACGCCAATTCATTCATTTTTACTGATGGTTGCATTTATGAATTTCATTCTTGTGAAAAAAAGGGAATAAAAGGAAAAAAATTAAGAAAATAGCTATTTATAGAAAACAAAACAAAAAAGGGCTCAAACAGAACAGAATCTGTGCTGATGCTTTTGATGAGCAGTCCGATGGCATTGAACATTACCTGTGCAAGCAGGCATGCTTGAAAACCTGTCTGAGTACTGCAGCTTCAGTTCCACAATCCAGGATTTCTTTTACGGTTGTTGGAAAAAAAAGAGCCTAATAGTTTCATACTGTATTTATTTAATAACTAAAATTCACAAATAAAAAGATACTTGCAAAGTCCTTTAGTTGTCTCATCCCCTCCTCCTCCACTCTACTGCTTTCAGACCCATATGCATAAAAAAATGGGTTTGGATTTTTAATTTTAACTGTTATATGATTGGTCGTTGGAGCTGAAGCACCAAATGGAGAAGATGCTTTATGGAGATGAGGGTAGAACCCTTTGCCTTCCCACACACATTTTGGAGGAACACAGGAGATGTACCAGTGCCCGGACTCCTCTGCTCCCATTTCCCCCACCCAGAGCATTCCTTTCATTTTATATTTCCTCTGTTAAGTGACTGACTGCAGCCTCTTTTGCCCCGTTCTGTCCCTGTGGGACCGCACAAACGTTGGATATTGTTCATTTCTCACTTTCCAGGCTGTGAGTCAGTGTCAAGTAGGTCCTGTTACAGCTCAGTGCGAGTTGGTTTGTAATGGGTCTTTTCATTTCAGGTAGGTTTGTGTGTCGATTCAGAAGGCTTGCGTTGTTTCTTCCTTGTTTATATCTGACAAGCTGCTGGATAAGGCTATTCATACTCCAGGAACTGTTTGTGATAGAACAGCAAATATCTGCAAGAGAGCAGARGGACAGTTTCAGCTCTGTGCTGGAGCAGATGAGTTTCCATTGATGCAACCAGAAAACACGAGGGCTGTTAATTTTGGTTTTCTTTTCRGTTTGAAGTGATTCCAGGGACACTAAACAGGGATGAGAAGGAGGGAAGCCAACTGACATAATTTCATCAGCAGCTCAGGGAACTCAACAGCTGTACACAGAAGAGAAATCCCATGGATGCCCCATCCCTG